GGCTGAACTACTAGTTAGCGGACCTCACCCGTCAGCCAAGGCACACGCCTCGTGCACGTGATGATCAAACACTCAGCCCGAGCCTTGTTGAGTGGCAGCTGTTAATAATCGGCATCGCTCTGTTGTTACCATGGGAACAGTCCAGATGGCCCCTGCAGAGCAAATGCAGGCCCCCTGTGTGCTGGAGGTCTGGTTTTGTTTATGCTCGTCCCAGGTTGGCAGACTTTCCCCCGAAAGGGCTAGAGTATATATTTCAGGCTTTGGGGGTCGTGGGACCGCCGTGGCAATGACTCAGCTCTGCTGTCAAGAGCCCCCCGAGCAGCTAGAGGCAGCGTGTAACCGAAGGCAGAGCTGTGCTCCAGTAAAACTTGACTCACGAAACCAGACCGGAGGCTGTTGTTGGCCCGCGGGCTCGAGCCTGCTGACCTCTGACCCGGGAGCAACAAATGGCTTCCTAAATTCTGCACGTCCCGCTTCTAGGGAGCCAGTGCAAGTGAAAGAGAACAAGCATAAGTAGCAACTGTGTTTTTGCCAGGGGAGCAATTTTTAGGGCATTTGGCCAAAGCCAGGCGTGTGTTCTGATGTCTGTGTGGAAGGACACAGCTCCCACAGCGTCTCCGGGAAGGGGTGCCACACGTGGACCTGGGAGCTCGCCTGTCCCGGAGGCCTGTGGCCACCGCTGCTGTACACTGAACTGTGTCACCAGATGCAGCAGAAGGCGGTCGCCAGCGCAGTCTTCAGGGGAAAGAAGGAAGGCTATGCGGAAAGTCTGAATAAACCCTTTGCCAACAGTAGGATAGGTAAGTACATTTTTCCATTTACCTCGTCTTAAAAGAGCCAGGGGGAAAATTTCAACTCCGTAGCATTTCCCAATGGCTGTGCCCCAGCTGGGGTCTCGGTCACAGAGGGACAGGAAGCCAGCGGATGCCAGTGGCTTCTGCGAGGACTCACTGTGCTGTTCCCTCCTAGACGAAGGAGACATCAATCCCAAAGTGCTTCAGCTCATCGGCAACGAGAAAATCCAGGTAAGGAAGAGCGGGGCCTGTTTTCTGGGGGAGCAGGCCTGGAAGCACTGAGTACGTGCAGGGGTGCGGCTCTGGGTACTGACTGGGCTGCCTGCCTTACTTAGGAGCGGTGCGATCCCAGGCAGGTCTGCAAGCTCTCGGGGGCTCTGCTGGCTGCTCTGTCACTTTGATCCCCTGGAGAACAGACACCCATGTGGCTAGACAGGATGTTCCTATGGCTGAGGTCTCTCGTGCCCACAGAGCCTTGAGGAGAGGGCATCTCTGCTGACCTCTCAGAGCAGATCCACGAGGCAGGTGGCCACGGCTGGGTTGGGCACGTGAGGGAGGCAACCAATTGCGCGCGCTCTCTCTCTCTCTCTCTCTCACTCAAAATGAATGGGAAAAATATCCTTGGGTGAGGATTAAGAAAAAACCCAAAAACCTAACAAAATCCACCTACTAGAGCACCAGGGTGTAGGAAAACCCTGTTGATGCAAAATCTGAACCTCTGCGTAACCAGCAACTCAGCCCCGCCTCCCCAACGTCGTCACGGTCACCTCCTTGCAGTATGGCATCCCGGTCATTAAATACGACAGGAAAGGCTTCAAGGCGCGTCAGCGGCAGCTCATCCTCACGCAGAAAGCCGCGTACGTGGTGGAACTGGCCAAAATCAAGCAGAAAATAGAGTACTCGGCACTCAGAGGTGAGACGCAGGCCACCTCAGGGCCAGTCACCGGGAGACCTAGCTCCCAGCACCCCAGGGAGGAAGCCCTCGACCGGAGGACGACGGTGTAGGGGCCTGTTGTTCTTGCGCAAATATCAGTGGAGCCCCAGTCACTCAAGTGTCCGGGCTGGACAGCCGTTGCCCTCTTCGTGCCCATTTTTAGTTGGGGCACAACCTTGACAGCCCAACAGCACACAGACTGTGTGAGGAGGCCCTTCGCCCTGCTGGGCCCAGCGAGGGGGGAGGAGTGTGGGGTTGGGGAGCCCCGAGGTGCACCTCTCCTTGTACCTGTGTTTCATGTCAAGTTGTCCCTTCCTGGCTCCTCACTGCCGTCTGTCTGCAGGTGTCTCTACCAGCAACCTGAGCGATGGATTCTTAGTCATTCACGTCTCACCAGGAGCCAACAAGCACAAGGTAACCGACGGCCACCTGCCTCTGCTGAGGGCCCGGCATGGTGCCGAGATGCTGGGGGGACGACGGGGAAACTGCAGTATTGGGGAGTTTTCTTTTTACTGCTCCCACTGAAACCACCCTGTCCTCTCCTCTCCTCCCCACCGCAGGGGGACGCCATCTTGCAGTGTGAGCACGTCTTTGAAGTGGTTACGAAACTCGTCATGCTGGTTAAGAAGGAGAACATCGTGCATGTTGTTCAAGGAAGGTAGGAGATTTCGTCTCCCGTGAGGAAGGCATTCAGTGCTCAAATGCTCGTTCACGCACAGAAGGTACTGTGACTGCCTAGCTCTCTGATGGACAGGTCCCCACGGGAATGGTAACTGTGTCACCCGTGCCCGCCTCCATGCAGGGATGGGGAACTTGTTTCTGCCCACGGGCCATTTGGATATTTATAGTGTTATTTGTGGGCCATTCAAAATCATCAACTTAAAACTTATGTTGCTATGAAAAGAGCCCTTAGAGCAAGTGGTTCTCAACCTTCCTAAGGCCGCGACCCTTTAATATAGTTCCTCATGTTGTGGTGACCCCCAACCATAAAATTATTTTCGTTGCTACTTCATAACTGTAATTTTGCTACTGTTATGAATCGTCCTGTAAATATCTGATATGCAGGATGTATTTGTTACAAATTGAACATAATTAAAGCATAGTGATTAATCACAAAAACAATATGTAATTATATGTGTTTTCCGATGGTCTTAGGCGACCCCTGTGAAAGGGTCGTTCGACCCCCAAAGGGGTCTCGACCCACAGGTTGAGAACCGCTGCCTTAGAGTGATTGAATTTAAAGTCCCTGTGCTGGACGTTCCCCACCCCTGCTCCAGTGGGTACCCTGCCCTTCTGATTAAGAACTTCTTCCCTTTCCCCAATGCCTGGGGCTCCAGAGAAATGAAGAAGTGGGTGATCACTGGCTGACCTCAGGGAACAGGGTCTTGTGACCCAGTATTCAAAGGCGGTGCTCACGCCCCTGGGGGAAGCTGTCACAGTGGGGGGTGGGCCTCGGCCCCAGGAGGTGGCAGCCACACCTGTGCTGTGGAAGCCTGTTTTGGAGGACAGCTGGTTGGGCACAGGGGGCTTCCACTTTGCAGGCTGCCTACAGACGGAAAAGTGCTGACATTTCTGTGGGACATAAAAGAAAAACCCCTGGTGCATAGAGTACCTGTTCAATTCTCTCGGCAGCTCTGAAGTGGGTGCCACCGTCACACAGCTGGGCAGGGACCGTGCATGGACCCTCAGTACGGCTCCCAGAGCCCCTAAAGCAGGCTGCTCCCTTACAGTTCTGCTCCCATTATGCCCTAATCCCTAAAACCTGCTGGGTAAATTCCTATGTGGATGGAACAGCGAGAGGTGGGTATGTGGAAAGTGGTGCTTTTGTATTGCTCTGCCTCTGAGGGCAGAGCTAGCCCATGAGAGCTGTAGTATAAAGACATCTAGTTACTCAGACAGCAGCGTGGCCCCTTGAAACTGAAGGAGCTAAACTGATCTTAGAGTAATTACAGAGACATGGGGTAAGTTTCCTGGTTATGGAAATGGTTTTCGTCTTTGCATTACTCAAATTCTATAATCAAACAGGTTCAACCTTGAAACGAGTAAAACTTCCTAAGTAAATTTCTTCTGTAGAGCAAAGGCAGAGAGAGAAAAGTAACACCAGGTCAGTAACTCATCATGTTTTGTGTATTTTAAGTTTACAGTTTTATATCAGTCCTGGAAGAGAAGGCACAATAGTTTTCGACACGGGACCAGAAGAACAAATCTATAAAGATAAAAATGGACAGTTAACAGTGGTGAGTGGCTGTGTCTGGGGAGGGAGGGAAGCACTTTTTGATGAGAATAAAGATGAAAATGCTGCCAATTTCAGTCCTCCTGTAGATGGACTGGAATCATAGCTAGTTCATCTCTTTCTAGTCCTGCTCCCACATCTGAGAAACAGGAAGGAACTGGAATTGGTCCTGGAGACATAGATCCAAATGCTGGGTGAAGCAAGAGTTTACTGCCATGTTTACTGGGAGCCAGAGCTGACACTCAACCCTCCTCGGGTTTAAATGGCAAAGCCCCGCTTTTCACTGGGCGGCGCAGGTGTTGGGCCTCATCACAGTGGTTCTCAAACTTCACACTGGAGCCTCCTGCGTTAGCATCTCACCCCCAGGCTCTGTGCTGTCATTGGCTGCGGGTGTGGCCGAGTGCTCAGAGCTTTGCCCTTCCTGCCAAGTAGCTTATTCTGAGCCCAGCTCCAGCAGCTCCCTTTTGGCGTCACAGAGCCTGTCTCCTACCTGCTTAGCTGAAGGTACTAACAGGCCTCGCGAGCCCATTTCTGTGTGGCTGGTCGAAGCGACATCACCTACCTGGGTGATGCTGACGGGTGGGGTGATAACTGCTTCCTTCCGAGGGGGGCGAGGTGAGGCCTCTAAGCCGCCACGTGGACTCTTCCAGGTGTCTGTCCGCATGAAGTCCTGATAGAGGGTGGCGTCTGCCGAGGCCAGGACGTAGGAAGCGGGATTTGACCCAGGAAGCTACCCCTTCGAGGAAAGGCTCCCGCGGCTCTGAAGAAACGGAGCGGCTTCCCATGCCAGCGCCCATTCCCAGCTGCCCTGTCGCGCTAACGTCGAACGTCCTCTCGGGGAGTCACGTCACCGAGAGGGTGGTTGTGAACGTCCCCAGTAGGATAGACACTCGCTGCGCACTCTGCCCGGTCACTGTAAGGTAGGCAACAGCTTCTCTACCTTTGCCGGCTGCCTCCAAGGCACAATGAAGTGTTAGAGGTGGTCTGAGTAAGTAACTGAAAGTTCACAACGCTGCAACATTTGAATTTTGCTTTAAATACATGGAATTAGAAATGTACCCGATTCCTTAACATTTCTCATAGGCTCTCTAGGTTCCAGATGGTGAGCTGTGTCTCCCCAAAATTAAATTGGTGGCAACACCAGCTGATTGATTGGTTTTGCTTCTTCAGAAGCCCAGCTGCGTTTCTGCCCCAGACTCCCTTTTGGTGTTTAAATTCAGGCGCTACAGGGAAATCACTCAGCTTTCCCACCCCGAGCAACTTCAAGGTGGTCGGGTAGAAGGTACTGTGACTGCCTAGCTCTCTCTGCTGAACACTGCACTTCACTGTGCTGGGGTTTCTGAAAAGACCCAGAAAACTGGCTTACGTAGAAGCATTATATATATAACTTTTATTGTACATTATGTCCACAAATGCTTGCACAACATACAGTGACGACTTCTAAAGCTTACAGCATCTTTTTCCATAGCACAGAGAAACAGAAAGCTTAAGGACGCACAGATGTGTAGAGAGCACCCAATCCAAGAGTCGGGCTGCGTGTTCCCACGTGGGCCCTGAATAGCTGCTGGGAGGTACACACACCTATTAGGAAGCAGAGGGCTGGGACCTGCCCAGCGACCAACCTGCTAAGCCGCTGCAGGAGGGCGACAGAAGGGGCTATGCCAGGGGCCGTCTCGGGCACAGGCTCCTGTACCACAATCAGGTGGTGTAGTTGAAAAAACAACTTGATTACAAGGGACCAAAAGCTGTTCACCCCTTTCACTGTAAGCTATTACAATGTAATAAAACTTTACTCTTTACCAGATATTAGGCCCGTGTTTTACTTGGATGGTTCTTAAGCGTAAATACTGACTTGTTTGCCCCAATGCCAGCATAAGAAAAATTAGGTCCTTGTAGAATATACTGGGTAACAGCTGGGCCAGCCAAGGCCCTCTGTCAGCTCATGGCCATGCAGCAGCATTCACCTGGAATGTCGTAGGGACCTCTCCTATCCCAGGGGAGCAGTTGGAGGAAAAGTGAAAGGAGAGAGACAGAGACAGAGACCGCCAGAAACATTAGGTCATCAGGTGGAGAAGCCCAAACAAATCACTTGTTCCACAAACGTACTCTTCGTGTAAACATTTAAAAACAATGTATTTGATGGCTTTTCCATTCCTACAGGAAACATTAGAACTGACATTCACTTTAACTTTCTAGAAAAGTTCAACCCAAATGGCAGGGTTGCTGTTGGAACTCGAACAGTATAAAATATTTAAGAAACATTTTTTAAGCCCCCCTTTCCTTAGCACTTAATAAAATCCGAACGGCCTCATGCGAAGGTTCCCACACAGTTTAAAAAGCATCTACCCAGTCCTTGATTTTGGGGTTGTCACCATTGTTTAAAGGTTTATTGGAGGCTTCGCTGCTGGATACAAAAGGAAGGCGTACAACTGTCGCAAGTAGGGCAGTGCGTACAAAGTCGAAGCTGTAAAAACCATTTCAAAATATAAACTCGTTTTTTTTGGACTATATTGTATCAGAGGCTGCCCATATTAATACCTTTGGTATAAAACAGTAACGTTTCCCTTGAAAAGTGGACAAAAACCACCCACTACCTTACACACATTCCTATCACCTTGTAACTACTCTACCTAGTCTAGTCTCAACCACCGATACTAGTCACATCTCCCTTCTGTCCCTGACAGGCGCAGAGGAGACTGGGAGGTAGGTACCGAGAACGCCCATCCCCTACATGCACACACCCCCGTCACAGTCACACACGTCCCCTGAACACCATGAACACTAACCTGACCCAAACGATCTGCACATCTCTTACTGACAGCCACTCCATACATGTCAAAATCAGAGGCAAAGACACCCAAGGGGTCTCCAGGTGATGGCTACGTTTACAGCAGGCAAGCTGCCCCGAGGCTGCTGGTGACGGTGGTCCCACAGGGATGCCAGGCTGGGGCCACACTGAGTTTCTAAGCAAAGGGCAGGGCACCTACTGCGGCAGTAAGCCCAGCTTAAGGGGGAAGGAATGGATCCCTTGGTTTGTGAGCTGTGCCCACAACCAGGCCAGATGGCCTTCCTGGAAAGCAGCGAGGCCACAAGGGCGAGCACTCACTACCAGCACAGCTCTGCCCTAGCCAGAGGTGTGGGGCCCACCAGGCACCAGACCACAGACCAGCCAAGGTAGCAAGAGGCTCGCCCCTACACAGATCAGGCATCCAGAGCTACTCGAAGCCCAGTAGGTCCCGCCTCCACTGCCACAAGCCGCAGTTATTTACCAACACGCTCTGGGCATGAAGTCCTGCTGCAGAGTGGACTTCTAGCAAAGCCGTCTGGAAAGCGTGCAGGCACCAGCCAGTGTGCCGGGTGGGCGGGAGGATGAGGGACAACGGAGCCCGAAGACACCCCTGGTGGCCACCAGCTGCAGGATCCCTCAGAGCTGTCACACTGAACCCCAAAGGCAACGCCATCCAAGAAGCTCCAATAGGTAGTCAACATCCACAAAAATAAATACTGCAAACGAAAGTCCTCACATACGCTTCATACGCATTCACACTTTTCCTTTGAGAACCCAGCGGGCCTTCCAGGTTCTCACAGAAAGTAGAGCCCTTGGACATAGCTTGTCAACAACACGGGAGCATTCACCTGGTACAAATCAATTCACCTTGTCGAGAAATATCAAAATCATCTGGCTTGTTACAAAAGTATCTCCAGACTCCAGGGGAAGTGGAAGGTGCCTGGGAGCCCGCACGGGATGAGTGTAGCGTGGGGAGGAGGGAGGAGAGCTCGGGTCCGCTTGCCTGCTCACTGGTGGAGGTGGGCACGGTCGTCAGGTCACTTGATGTGGATCCGCCGCACACGCTCGATGCGCTCGCGCTCCCGCTCCTCGTCTTCGTCCAGGTGGTGGGAGCGCCCAGCCGCCCCACCCGTGGCCTCCAGGAGCGCATTGTCAGGTCCACGGCCATCCTGGGCCTCATACAGCAAAATATTCAGGGTCTCCTCATAAATCCGGGCCTCAGGGAACTCCACCTGCATCCCCACGAAATACAGGCAGGTGAGCGAGCATCACACACGGCCTACCACCGCCACCCAGTACTTTCAGGCTAATCAGCCCCTGGGATTCCAGTTAAGCCCAAGGAGAGCAAGGAAACAGAAGGCCTAATGGGTCACAGGCCCGTAACAGCTCCCGCAGCACACATTAGCTTTGCAGAACGGTGCAGAGACAGAAGGGAGAGGGTAAGTACACTGGTTTGGAGCGGATGATATAAAACTAGATCCTCAGAGTCCAGATCAGTGAGGGGGTCATGTGCTCGGAAGGAAGTCAACAGGGTAGGAGCTAAGGATGCCGAGTGGGCCCCGTGAGGGTGGAGGGCTGCTCTAGGTCAGCGGGTCAGAGGAGGACGGACAGATGGCAGCGAGTAGACAGAAAGCCAAGGTCAGGATCTTGAAGGCAGCCCTGTTGCTCTGATGACCGGGACGGGATGGGGCCGTGCTGGTGGGAAGCGTGCTGTGGGGAGGACCAGGAAGCACACAGACAGCGTAGGTCACTGAAGCAGGAGGCAGTGCTGGCAGCGGGCCACACATGGGTAGCGGGATATGTGAGTTAACACTTAGGGCAAAGGAACTGAGGTGCAGTGAGGCTGCCCCTACATGCTGGGTGGCACAAAAGGAGCGCCATTTGGACTCTCTAGGACCTGCGTCTGCACCTTAGCAGGGCCCAAAGGACAATGAAAGCTGTGCAAGTACACATGCCAGGCTAGCCACGCAGAACCGTCCGTGCCAAGCCCTCACCTTGGTCTGCTTCTTCTCGGTGGCATAGACGATGGAGGTACAACAGACCTCAGCAATCTTCCGGCCCTGACCATAAAAGGACCAGCAGCAGATTTCGTCCCCGATGACATCCTTTATGAACAGGACCCGTCCGTTAAAGCGCAGAGAGAGCTTATCGAAGAGTTCAATGTTTTTCAACATATTGTCGTCAGAATTGCTGCAAAAGAGCATTTGGTAAGGTGACCACAAGCGGGTGATAACCCCGCCACCGGCAGAGTGTCCACACTCGGGGCCCATTATCCCAGCTACCCCGTTTCAGCCTCACAACAACCCACGAGAGAGGCACCAGCCCCCACTGCTCAGAGAAGGAAAGAGAGGGCCTGAGAAAGTGGGTGATTACTTGAGGTCAAAAACGAATGAATGGCAGAGCCAAGGCCTCAAAAAAGATAGCTCCAGCCGCTCAGCCTGAGCTCCTAACCAGTGTGCTAGAGAGGCTGCTATGCTGTGTGCAACCGCCAGAGGTGGAGCGCTGAGAGCTCGGGCCTGCGGGCACTGGCGCCAGGTGGGGCATGGAGGACAGCCCAGCAAGCACAGGAGCGTCAGGACGGAACTGCCGAGGCGACGCTCTATCCTGCTCAGATTACGGGTCTTGAGTAACTGCATCAGGTCCCCCTAAGGTCCCTCAAGTTCCTGATTTAGAGTCACAAGTTCCCAAGGGCCACCAGGCATTCTAGAAACCTGGAGATATTGCTGGTGGGGAAATGAGGAGCGAATGCTAACGGGTACCAGGTTTCTTTTGGAGGTGATGAAAACGTTCAAAAATTTGGTGATGGCTGCACAACCTGTAAATACACTAAAAACTACTGAATTACATACTTTAAAAGGGTGAATTTATGGTACATGTGAATTTTATCTCCTCTCTAGCCTTCCCTTTCTTGCCATCTACCTATCTGGCTTCCTCGAGGTGCAGGGGGCTCCCTCATCTGGAGGGAACAAGAGGAGCTGGGCCCGCTGGTATGAGCAGAAGCTTTCCTAGCGAGTACAGAAGTACAGAAGTCTTTTCTGGCTGGCGCCTTACCTGGTATATGAGTATTTGTTGTTACTTCTGTTGTAGAGTAACTTCACGGCTGGCTGCGGGTTGATTTAAAAAAGGAAGAAGAGGGTTACTTGGAGTGCAGATGCCATAAACCACTGGCTTCCCGTAAGGCTGGCCCTGCCACCAGGCCGAAGAGGCAGACAGCACAGCCTGCTGGCCGGGCCGGGCTCGAGAAGGAGACTGTGTGCCCCAATGGCAGGGAACACAGGATGAGCCACAGGTTCCCATTCTTAGCCCCTTCTCGGGTCTTCCTCAGGCAGTTACACAAGTTCTCATCTCAAAACGTGTTCAGAAGAACCTCTATCATCTCTGATAGCAAGAAGAGTACCACGGGGCCTCCAACATACCTTGTTTGAAGTCGCTATAAGTTTCTGTTCTTCTTTGGATGAGGTGATAACAGGAACTTTGCAGAAAGGCTCATAAGCATCTTTGTTCTGCTGGAACAAAACGTGCTTTCAGCCGAGGAGGCCTGCCCTGCACTGGGTTGGTTAAGCTGGCCCGCGGGCAAAGGCAGGCTCTGGCGAGGGCAGATGGGCAGTCACGGTGGGAAGAGAGGAGGATTCTTACTACCAGTGAGTTAGGATGGGGGCACGACCAGGAGTTGAGCTCTCCAACAAGTCTGCTATTTGGCGGCTGTTATACGCCAGGTGCTCAGTAAACCCTAAGAACGATGACACATTCCCACAGCCCAGGGAGCCACTCAAACATAAACCCTGAACATGGTAGATGACACATGACTGCATCAAAGCTCCCAAAACCCCCTGGCAATGACTGCAGAAGAATAAAGAAAAGTATAAGCCCGTAAGAAAAAAAGAATGAGAGACGTGAAGCCAGCAGACAAAAGACATAAACAATCTGAGGCTGGAGAACAGATCACAGATGAGTGATATGCAAGAAGGAAGCTGGAACCTAAGTCAGCAGATGGGAAAGGATCCTGGAGATTTTCAAAGAACAGCTCTCAAGGCTGGTGGGCACAGGGCAAGAGGGGAGGCTCGCCTGCCAGGTGGCAGAGCCCCTTCCCCAGCCCGGCAAAGAAGGTCCATGTTTAGGTGTGTACAGGACTGAGTTGCTATTCTGAAACAGAGGGACTAAATGGTGAGGCACCCCCAGCCCCCGGGCCCTTCCCCGCTCAGATCCCAGACGGCAGCCAGTCGGGCTTATCTCCTCTCGGTAAGAGAGGAGGATTCCTCCACCAGGAACTGAGCAGCCCGAGAAGAGGCTGACAGATCTGAGACGGGGGTTCCCGCTGGGAAAGCCAGCCCACCCTTCACCACTGAAGCCCACTGGACAACAAGGACGCCCCACAGTCACACCGCTTTTCAGAGCTTCCTCTTAAATTTCAACAGGCCAAGGATCATCCGATTGTTAGTGCAAAGCCTCTCAAACATGAGACCAAACAAAGAGAGAAAAAGTAAGGAGTCAGACGATACGACGAAGGCGGCAGAAAGAAAACCTCCAACACCAGCATCATCAGACAGACGAGAGCAGATTTTTCATCCTATGAAAAAGATCAGCCTGCTACATAAACAAGAGCATCGGGGAGCAAGAAAAGG